AGAGAGAGAGAGAGAGAGAGAGAGAGAGAGAGAGAGAGAGAGAGAGAGAGAGAGAGAGAGAGAGAGAGAGAGAGAGAGAGAGAGAGAGCTGCTGGGAAGCCACCATTCTGCCCTCGCTCTCAATTCAACATTACCAGTTTCTCGGCACACTAAGCTCTCACTGTACCTAGAGTGAGGGGGCGGGGGATGGGGGAGGAAGGGCGCGAGGAGGAGGGAGAGAGTGAGGAGGAGGGAGAGAGTGACGAGGACGAAGAGCATGAGGAAGGGGAAGAGCACATTGATCTGATCCGAAGACTGTGACGAGGCAAAAGAGCGAGAGGAAGAATAGTTGGAAGAGAATGAGGAAGAAGAGCTGGAAGAGAATGAGGAAGAAGAGCTGGAACAGAATGAGGAAGAAGAGCTGGAAGAGAATGAGGAAGAAGAGCTGGAAGAGAATGAGGAAGAGCGTTAGGAGGAAGAGGGGGAAGAGAATGTCGAAGAGCATCCGAAAGGGGAAGAGCCCATGGATTGGAAGACTTGAGGAAGAAGAGCGTGACGAGGAGGAAGAGCGGATTCAGAGTCGATTCTGTTTTAACTGCTCCATTTGGATACACACGCGTGGTGTGGTTTCTCGATTCATACGTGTCATCCGCGGAGGGCCATGCTAATCTTCTCTGATCGATCCAATTTAAACACGGAGAGAGAGAGAGAGAGAGAGAGAGAGAGAGAGAGAGAGAGAGAGAGAGAGAGAGAGAGAGAGAGAGAGAGAGAGAGAGAGCACCGCTCTGTCCACAAAGTGATTCTGACACGTGATGCTCGGTCTCGTCTTTGTTTTTTGCCATCCAGGAAATGCTCCAAGATGCACGCCCAGCATTACGGCTCACATGACAAGCACTACCATCGGCAACTCCTAGGCGCACAGCACCTGCCAAGCCGATTGGATGTTGATTACTTCATTCATGCATTACACGACATGCTTAACGACAGTGACACTCTTGCAAGTTATAATTGAAGGCATCTTCCAACAACTCCCCGCAGCCAATTCTCAATCACACCGCCTCGTCCCACCCCCTGCCAATTCTCTATCAATCACACCATCTCGGCCGACCGAACTCAGTCTCACAGTCTCATACAATCACGTGCACACTCTCTCTCTCTCTCTCTCTCTCTCTCTCTCTCTCTCTCTCTCTCTCTCTCTCTCACACACACACACACACACACACACACACACACACACA